AAAAGCAACAAAGCAAGGTTGGTCCAGCCCATACTATTATTCTTGATTCCTCCTCCCTCATTCTCTTTAGTCATCAAGGCTTGTTGATTTTATCTCCTTTATATTTCTCTCCTACCTAACCATACTATTCTTATCTCACTTCAATAGCTTCTTAACTGCATTTGCAGCCTGTAACCTTGCTCTATTTCTAATCCATTTTCTAGACTTGGGTCATGCTGATCTCTCTAAAAATGTGATTCTGATCATGAGTGTCTCATTTCTATGTAATTTTTTTAATGGTTCTCCTATCCTTTCTTTTTTTTTTTTTGTAGAGATATAGTTTTACTTTATTGCCCTTGGTAGAGTGCCATGGCATCACACAGCTCACAGCAACCTCCAACTCCTTGGCTTAGGCAATTCTCTTGCCTCAGCCTCCCAAGTAGTTGGGACTATAGGCACCTGCCACAACGCCCGCCTATTTTTTTTGTTGTAGTTTGGCCAGGACCGGGTTTGAACCGCTACCCTTGGTATATGGGGCCGGCGCCCTACCCACTGAGCCATAGGTGCTGCCCCTGCTTCCCTTATCCTTTAAGATAAAGTCTAAACTATTTAGCATTTTGTTTATGTAGATTTTAGCATTTAGTTTACAAGAAAGATACCACTTAAGCCAGAAATACTACAATATTGCATGAATTAGGGCAAAAAAGGAAAGGAAAAACAAAAGTTTTTCCTTAGTCTTCCTCTGGCTCTTGGGACTCTGCTCTAGGAGACATTTTCTCACCCTCTAGCAGCCTTTGCTGATCACTGTGGGGGGCCAAGTGTCACCCCATAAGCTTTTACATCATACAGTGCACTGTCAGAGTACTGTCATAAATGTCTGCCTGTCAGTCCCATAGATGATGAATTCCTTTAGCATAAGAGCTAAATTTCCATTATTATTCCTCTTATCCCTTCCAAAATTGCTTTGAAGGGTGGACTAGGTGGTACTTGGTACAGTGACAGACACATAATAGATGCACAATAAATGTTTGCTGAATGAACGGATATACCAAGATAACAAATCACATCACTAGAAACCAGCACCCATGGCTCAGCGCCTGTGGCTCAACTGGCTAAGGCGCCAGCCACATACACCTAAGGTGGCGGGTTCGAATCCCCAGCCCAGGCCTGCCAAACAACAATGATGGCTGCAACCAAAAAATGGCCGGCACTGTGGCGGGCGCCTGTAGTCCCAGCTACTTGGGAGGCTGAGGCAGGAGACTCGCTTGAGCCCAGGAGTTGGAGGTTGCTGTGAGCTGTGAGGCCATGGCACTCTACCCAGGGGGATAGCTTGAGGCTCCGTCTCAAAAAAAAGAAAGAAACCAGCACCCAGAGCTAATTACTAGGGACTAGCACAGTGTGATTAACTCATTGTTCCAGACCTCTCTCATATGCTTACTATTTTCATATCCACAATAATACTTACTGTGATCTCTGCGCCAGGAGCAACTCATTTTTTGCAAATTCAAAGTCTTTTGGACCTTCACTTATAAGAGTATCTCTACTGGATGGTCTTTTCCCTTTCTGGACTTCTACTGGATGATTAAATCTAAAATAATGGTCTCCACCAAGAATTACCCGATCACCCTAAAACACACACAAAAAGTTACTTCTTAAGGTAAATGTGAACCAAAATTACATGTGAAAAATAACTGTGCTCAAAATAGTCTAGTATTACTAATGATAAACATAAAAATCACAACAACTAACATTTATTACTTTCTATATGTCAAAGACTACGTTAAGTACTTTACATATAATCATATAAGGTCAGACAATTAAGCTCTCAAATTCATCCTACATGACGTACTACATACCTTATTGCTGAATATCCCTGCAATCACCTTTGAGTATACACCTTGGAAAGCGATGCACTGATGCCAGCACCTAGTCCACCCTTCAAAGCAATTTTGGAACTCTTTTTCTGGAATGGCCATCAGAACTGTTGTCATATGAGTTTTGACAATTAAGTTAGCAAACTCATCCTAGAAAAAGTGCTTTGAAGGGTGAACTGTGCACTGGTGTCAGTGCATAGGTTCCCAAGGGGAGTATTTCGAAAGTGACTATAAGTGATATTCAGCAATGAGGTATGTAGCACTTTTTCTAGGATGAGTTTTTGAACTTAATTGACCTTATATGTACCAATATGAGTGTATACTGACACAAACTTAGACAGCATAGCCTACACCACACTATAGCCTATTGCTTTTAGGCACAAAGCTGTACTGAATTCCATACATAATTGTAACATAAACACAAATATTTATGTATCTAAATATACCTAAATATAGGAAAGGTGCAATAAAAATATGGTATTATAATCTTATGCAACCATTGTTATATATGTGGTCCATCATTGACCAAAACATATGATGCATAACATATGATGCAAAACATATGATGCATAACCGTATATTATCTCATCACAAATAAGATACATACTATTATCCCAATTTTAGGAATAAGGAAACTAAAAAGCACAAAGCTTAATAATTTACTTACTATTTGCAGATACAGTTCTAAGAACTATACACAAATTTCATTTAACCCTTTACTATTCCAGAAAGCCAAGATATAGCAAGTGATGATATGTGTTAGTTTGCTTGCAACATATTGGATAATGTCCATTCTCATGTTATAATAATTATTATTATTATTTTTAGACAGAGTCTCACTTTGTCACCCTCGGTAGAGTGTCATGGCGTCACAGCTCACAGCAACCTCTAGCTCTTGGTCTTAGGAGATTCTCTTTCCTCAGCCTCCCAAGTAGCTGGGACTACAGGCGCCCGCAACAATGCCCAGCTATTTTTCAGTTGCAGTTTGGCCAGGGCCAGGTTCAAACCTACCACATTTGGTATATGGGGCTGGTGCCCTACTCTCTGAGCCACAGGTGCCAGCCACCTATTGTAATTATTAATAATGCTCTCAAAAGTGCCCTGACTTGGGTAATATTATTCAATCACCTAATTAAATAACTTGCCAAAGGTCACATAGCAAATGGCAGAACCAGGGTTTTAAGTCTGGACTAATTCCAAAGCCCTGCTCTTTATAGGATATATAAGGATGCTGTCAGTGGTCAGTTCTTCAAGTGCTAGTTCATAATAACAAATTTTATCCTTGTACAAAGGAAGGCAATTAATGGGAAAAAGAATTTTTGAAATGGAAAAGTCCTTAATTTAGTTCAACTCCCTTAACTTACAGAGGAGAAAACTGAGACTCAGAAAAATTAAATGAGAGAAATTAAATGATTTGCCCCAAATCAAAATAGATTCTTATATCATAGCATCCATCAACTTACATGATGTAATACTGTGGGTTCCATAATACATTTTCCATTTACATATGTCTTTGCTTCCCCAACTGGTGTGATACTCACTGTCCCACCAAAATTTTTAAGTGAGCTGTCAAGATAAGAAGCACATTGTTACAATTACAGGACACACTAAAAAGTAAGAAAAAGGTAAAATGGGATAATCCTGCTTGGGTTATTCCTTTGGTGTTAAGGTTCATGTCAATACATTAAAAATAACTTTAAATTATTTAATTTTCCTTAAAATAAATTTTGAACTATGGTGAAAAATATCTGGCCTCTCTAGCTATTCTATCTACCAGTGCTGGAAAAAAAATTAATTATATTTATTTTGATTATAACTTCTTTAAACAAAGAAAAGCCATTCCCCCAAAATAAAAACAAAAAAGAAAACAAGTTCAAGGAAAATAAACCACTAAAATATTAATAATAGTTTCCACTAAAAGGAACAGTCTTTTTTTCTGTAGAAACAGAGTCTGACTTTATCACCCTCAGTAGAGTGCCATGGCATCACAGCTTACAGCAACCTCCAGCTCTGGGCTTAGGAGATTCTCTTGCCTCAGGCTCCTAAGTGGCTGGGACTACAGGCATCCACCACAATGCCCGGCTATTTTTTTGTTGCAGTTTGGCCAGGTTTTTGTTGCAGGGCTGGGTTTGAACCCGCCACCCTTAGTATATGGGGCCAGCGCCCTACTCACTGAGCCACAGGCACTGCCCAGGAACAGTCTTAAGTGCTTTTAAAATTTTTTTCTAAGTTTCTGATTTTATAAATGAGCTTTAATAATGGAAAAAACATCAAACACTTTTACCCTCATGAAAAGCAGAGTACCGGCTCAGAGCCTGTAGCTCAGTGGTTAGGATGCCAGGCACAAGCACTGGGGCTGGTGGCTCTGAACCTGGAATGGGCTTGCTAAACAACGACAGCTACAACAGAAAAACCAAAAAATAGCTGGGCGTTGTGGTAGGTGCCTGTAGTCCCAGCTACTTGGGAGGCTGAGGCAAGACAATCACTTAAGCCCAAGAGTTGGAGGTTGCTGTGAGCTGTGACACCACAACCATCTACTGAGGGCGACATAATGAGACTCTGTCTCAAAAAAAAAAAAAGCAGAGTACCACAGAGGAAAGAAAGGCATGATAAAGCATACCCCTCAGTTTAGGTAATTAACTAGACCCTGAGTGTAAGATGATACTGTGGAGAATCAGCAATAAATGCTACATATTCCTTTGAATTTTTTATTTAGACAATAGGAAAGAAACTCCAAAGTCCAATTCATCTTTGGATTAACTGGATAGAAGAAAAGAAAAAACTGGCTGGGCGCCTGTGGCTTAAGCGGCTAAGACGCCAGCCACATACACCGAAGGTGGCGGGTTCTGATCCCCAGCCCGGGTCTGCCAAACAACAATGATGGCTGCAACCAAAAA